AACTTCGTTCTATTAAACTCTTTTCTTCTTGTGAAGATATCAGGATATCTTCATGCTATCGATTCACACGATATTCGTTCTTTTCTTTCAGCTTAATGATTTTCTTTTCTTCAGGGAGTTTTCGCTATTTTCATGCCTTTTGAAGTGCGTGATATTTCAATTTATTGTATTCTGTCTTGTCGACTTTTGTCGTATTTAAAGAGAAGCGTTTCTCTTAACCTGAAAAAATGCTGGTTGAAATTTCGAGAGTTTTCGTGATTAAACAAATGTTTCATTATGAATGGTCGAGTTGTGTACATTGCGACTGATCCATTTGGACTGTTGGCTTTTGTTGAGCCAATTTGTTGTTATTTCAAATGAGTTTAACATGCTTCTGGTAAACTTTGTTAATGATTATTGTTTTGACATGTTACAGTGTAACTGATGCTTTATGGACAAATTGTGTTTACAAACCAAAAAACTTAGCATCAGCAAAAGAAGATGCCAAACAGGGAAGAAAGGAAGAAAATAAAGACACACAAAAATCTGGTTCAGTTACCTTTTTATTATCATTTTGATAAACTAAATTGTACTTGTTTTGCTTCCTTCATTTTCAACCAGAACTTTTTTTCAACTCCTTGTTTGTCGTCCTTCCCATTCCTTGGAGAGTCATTCATTCATTCATTTTTCTCTTCTCCTGTTTCCCTCTCTTTCCACTTTCCAATTTCATTTTTATACCAGTAAATGTTCACCACTTTGTACAACAGTCAACATGGAAACAACAAGTGTTGATTAAATTTTCTCATGCAACACACTTTTGATTGGACAATCAGACTGAATATCATAAAATTTTATTGAATGTCACTCCAAGTCTTTAATTCGTTAAAAACTCAAATCTTGAATAATGTCCAATGAAAGCAATTTGTTCAATTGTAATTAATTAATTAAATTGTTGGTTAACTCGATTTGTTTAATCAAATTAGCTGATTCTGAGAGTAATGTTGAGAAATCAAATTAACGCAATTAATTAGACTTAATTTTCTTAAAATTCTGTAAATCTGATAAAGATTATTGTTTGCTCCAACAGCTATCAAGGGTTTCATCAAGCTAAATGATAAAATCATTAATTAAACGCGATCCAAATTAAAATTGATTCATCAAACTTTGTTTCACTTTGAATTGCGTGATGAAATTAGGAAGACGAAATTGTTCATTACACTCGATTTCAGCTTTAAGCCTCATTATGTCATCACCCAGTGACAACATGTGATAACATTTTTTTCCTCTGCATAGTTGATAGTCAAACAATGAAGCTCATTGTAGGTTAGACTTTTGTTTGTCAACAAATCCCTTTCGTTCATCTCACAAAATCTTCAAGGCGTATCGTCTGACTATTCAATTTTTACCCTCGAAAAAGGGTAACAGGGAGGGAAAAAGAGAAAAGAGAGAGAACTTTTCATGAGACCTTTTTTTCGTCTCCATTCTTTTCAACTTTGCATTTCACCGAGAGTTTGATGTTGCTGGATAAAGACGGTGAGCTTGCAATAACTTTCCTTCCCTGTTTACTAGAGCATAACTATCTTCATCTCTTTTTTGTTGCTCTTTTCATGTACACTTTTCAATCATTCCCTGTGATAGTTTGAAACTATTTTTGCACATTTTGTCTTCCAATGTGATGAATTGAAAGATAAAAGATGAAAAATTTCGATAACTCAACTAGCTCTTTACTTTCATCTCAATTTTGAAGCGCACAAAATCCATTAGTAGCTATTGGCAAAAGGCAAAGTCAAACATTCCACCAGTTTTACATTTTCCTTTCAGACAAATTCACCAGATTAACATGGAAAGCATTCTAATGAAGACAATTTGAATCGGAAGTCGAGAGAAATGATTGAACCAAAAATGTAACTTTTAGTTATACTGTTGGGAGAGCATTAGGTAAACAGGGAATGAAAACTCCAGAAAGACTCATGCAAAGTTTTGCTTAAAACTGTGACAATAAAGTTTTCCATTGATGAAATTTGATTCGAAACTCGACTCAGAATTCCTTTGATTTCAAAATCTTGGTTTTGTAACAAAATAACGAATGAAAATCAACTTTTAATTTCTAAATGATCTTTGTGAGTTTCACCTGAATTTGCGCTTTCATTAGAAGAGTTTCTTCCTTGGAAATAACAATAAGATGAAACATTTTCTATGGATTTTACAAAATCTCATTTATTTTGATCCAATATTGAATTTGGTGAACAAAGATTGTTAATTTACTCGCCTTTATGATCAGTGAACCTAAATTGGAAACCTTTTGGCTTTTACTTTCTACTTTTTCTCCTTTTTTCATCACTTTTTTGTTCACCTTTTTCATCCAATATTGATAATTCATTTCATTTCGTGACTCTTTAATAAGATGTCTTAAGACAACTTAACTTAATGGAAAAAGATGATCGAATGCGAACACACATGAAAAAAATGAGTGAAAAGATCATCTTGGAATGAAGAAGAAAACTAAAAAATCTTTCCTTTCAACTTTTCTCACGATTATGATGAAACTGATTATAAAGATGATACAAGAAAAAAAGATGAAGTAAAGAAAATGAAACGAAAATTCAGATGAAAAATGAACCTTTCATATCAGGAAACCAGGTAAAACTTTCTTCCCTTTTCTTCCTTTTCTTCTTCTTTGCACGAAACCGAAAACAAGAAGATGAATGAGAAGAAAATTTTCTCTCAAACAGACAGTTTCGTTTCTAATCTTTTCCGTCATCATTGAAACTCTGTTCATTCCATCGAGCAGATTCTCAAAGATTCAAGTCAATTCGATAACAGAATAAGGTTAACAACATAAAAGAGCAACTTCTTTGTGAACAATGTTGACACAAACGAAACAATTGTTCGAGTAAAAAAAGCATTTTTCAATCTCAACAGATCGATGCAAGCATTCAACTTTGATAATTAAATATTGTCTAATAACACGAACAAACTAAATGCTTCAATAAAATACAAGATTGTTTAATAAAGAAATTTTGAAAACTTTATTCTTCTCATTAAAAGATTGCTTCGGAAATTGAATTGCTTTCAGTTTGATTAAATTCAAAATTGTTTTCAAAGCGAGTATCGATTCTGATTGTTAGATTTGAAGCAATCGCTGCTGTAATTGCTCTAATTTGCATTTCACACTTTGGAGAAACGAATTTTGTTCAATTCGGTTTCATCATGTTGATGCATTTTCAAATCTTACATGATGATTGGAAGATGGTTGGAGTTTTCAGAGAGTCGTGATGATAATGAAGAGAGCCTGAAACGTGAAAGTGTTTACAAGCAATTTGAGTGAAAAAAGTCAACTGCTCAAGACTGGAGGGAGTGCAAAGGGAAAATGATGAGTTTTGTTCGAGTTTTTTTGCTTCTTCTTCGTCGAGTTGGAACAAGTTGTTTGAGAAAAGGTTGGAATGTTTGAAGACTTGAAGGAAACGAGGAGAGAGAGAGAGAAAAAAAAACCGAAATGAAATGAAAAGTTTTTTCTTCTTTTTCCATCTTCTTTTGGAAGATGAAATGGAAATAATGAGTGAAATGTACATTAATTCAATTAAGATTATCCCTTTACACTTGTTAGGTTAAGTTGTCCTCACTGTGACTAACATCAATCAAGAGTTATTCCCTTGATTGTTACCGCATTCACCATTAAACCAAAGGTAATATTAACAGAATAATAATGTACTCGGAAACACTGCTTTGCTCTACTCGCGAACAACAATTAATAAAATGTTGATTCCCACTCTCAATCATTCCAAGTCGACTCAATTAAGATGCAACTTTAATTTCAATCGAAAAGTGTGTTTAAAACAATCAAAAGTTAAACAGGCAATGAGTATGCATAGCTAGTAATATGGAAACTTTAATTTAAATGAACAACAAATTGAACGTCGAATCAGGAAGCAATTTAAGACTAAAAATAAGACAAATTACTCCTAATGTTAGTGTCAAAATAGATGAAGAATAGCACAGAGGTTAAGGCCAAGTAAACTCACTAATCAATCGCAATTGCCTCTAAATAAGCAGAATCCTAGTCGCGAAAATTTGATGCTTGTAATGCAAGATCTAAAGTGTTAAAGTCCAACTCATGAACCAGCCAATTTCAATAAGTTATGCCAATAAGAAATGCTTTAATAGTTTGGGTTAAGCTATTCATAAACTGGTTCAATCGATGTATTGCTCCAAGCAAAATGTACAAAGATGTCGTTATGCATTGTTCAAGACTAACATTGAAGTCAACAATGCAAGTTTAACATCGAAACCATTTGAAGCATTTAATGGGCAAAAGAGAGTCCAAGTCAGACTGAGACTTGTAAAGCGATCGACACTTTGCATTGTTTTTCATTTCAAACTAAACTCTTCTGTTACCATTATTGCTCCAAAGCTTATTTTGCATTAGAATAACACTTTTTGTTGCAGAATGTTTCAGTTTTCTTTTGTTTTCCATTATTTTCCAATCTAGATTGTTCATTTACTATTCATGATTTTGATTCTTGCCTTTCTCTTTTCATTGCATGATGATTTTATACAACAGGTTGTCGATGCAATGTTTTAAATGATTAAAAAATGTGAATCAAATTGCCTTTTGAAAATTAATGAAATTTGAATAAATTAATTTAACATAATGTTGAATGATGAATTATGGGAAAATGAAATTCAAAACCAATTGTTATTAGATATTTGCGTAATTGATAATTCAGATAATTGCCAAAGGAATTGTTAATTAACATTGCTTCAGGATAAAACATTCATTTATACAAGAGCAAATTGTCAGTGCAAATGGAAGGGTAAAGAAAAGGCAGAAAATTTATTCTACTCAAGTTCATTAATCATTGAATTGAATTTCAAATTGTTTAGGTAAGCAAAGGTTCAATTGAATAGTTTGAACGTTAGTTAGACGGTTTCATGTGACGCAAATTAAAATGAATTGTTCAAAGTGAATTGGAATGAAATTTTACGAAAAAAATGTCAATTACAGAAGGAACAAAGCTTACCGTTAATTGCATAATCATAGATTGATTGTTGATTAATTAGATGGTGGTTGGAATGAGGTTGTGTTGAATGAAGTACTTGGTGAACATTGAAATGCTGAGGGTTGAGGTTGAATCGGTTTGACTGGGAATTGGAATGGTTGACGGAATGATTATGATGCTGATGGTGATGATGGTTAAGATGGTTACGAGGCAAGGTTGAGAAATGATGAGCTCGACGGTTGGTCTCATTTGGTTCATTTTTGGGTGTTACTGCTGATATCAGTTGGCTCCATTTGTGGTTGATGTTGGATAACCAGTCTTTCAATTTAATGCTTGAAGTCGGTTGTCGCATCCGTGATTGAGTGTTGAGAAGGTTGCGATTTCGTTCGGTTGACATGGAACGGTAAAAGTTTGCACTTTGATGTTGATGGGCTTGAGGTTGCACCAAACAGCCTTGTTGTTGAACGTGATGTTGGTGCAGTTGATATTGTTGTTGCTGTTGGGGACAATTGTGTCTACATGTTAGTCCGCTTACACCAATCATTTGATTATTGGCAACATTATTGGCACTAATGACAACATTGTGTCTCAAGGTGTTTTGCAAAATAAGATCACCATTAGTTGAATATGCTTGATTGGGGTTAATCAAGTGAGGACAAGGTTCACCTAATGAGGTCCATAAACCATCAGTGAAAACAGTATAATGGCTAACAAGCTAGAAGTTGATCGTAACAAAGAGCCACATTTAAGAGTTGGTGAAACAAAAGTTTGAGAAAAAAGATCAATCATTAGAGCACAAATTGCAGAAATAGTTTTAATAAGAAACTTGATATTGTTTTCATCGTTCTTAGATATTGAGAGCTCAAAACAAGGAGCAATTGCAAACTTCATGAAAGGAATGAAAACATTGATTTAACAACTTGCTTTGCAGTACTAAACTCAACAATAACATCAAGCTAAGTTGAAAACTAACTTTATTGAAGTTTTCGTAAAGCTTTTGCAGTTCTAATGAATTTAAACAGCTTTTGTCTGTTCCTTTCGAGCCACTTACCGACATTATTGAAGGAAACTTGTGTCCGTCTTGGATCGCCAGCTCTCCAGAAGAAAGTATATCAATTCGATAGTGTTTAGCGGTTCCTTCGTGGCTAACGCATAATGCATAACTTGATTCATCTCTTTCACGGACTCTGTTGATTGCAAAGAAATGGGAACTTTAAATGAGTCTACTTGAGATAATTAATGATTTAATAAGGTTAGGAATGGATATTTAAACCAATATCGATTGGAATAACTTCAAACTCAAACTCAGAATGATATTTGATGTCAAATGATGCAAAATTGTCATTATTTGAAAGTGAATCTCGAGTGAAAAATGAACGTAATTGATCATTTATTACAACTCAACTTAATGATTATTCAATTTATTCATCTTTTCTGCCTTCATCAACATTTACTGATTTACATATTTCCTGTAAACTTTACAGAAAAACAAATTGAATCGCAAAACACTTTGGAATGTAAATAAAAACTTTCAAGTCAATGCAAAACCATTCATCATTAAACCATCGCTAATGATTTATATCAAGTTATCAACTAAAGACAATTTATTACAATGCTCAACATTTCCTAGCATTCAATTTCAATAACAATTCAAGTACTTTAAATGCTTTTATTGTTAAACTCTGTTCATCTATCAATTATCGAGACTGACGATTGCTCACAAAGCAAAACATTGAACACTGAATAAAGTGCTTGAATGAAATGGAGAAAAGATAAGAATTCAATTTAATGAAAAGTCGATTTGCAAGTAAGAGCTGAATAAAAATGTATTTACATTTTGTGCTTTTTGCGATTATGTTCATTTATTGATGAATAAATAATATTGGAAATGATAGAAATGAAGAAAAATATCAATTTATTTTGGTACAACAAAAATTACCCAAAAAATGCATTTCCATTTCAAGATTTCATTCTTGTCATTCAATCGATACTTTTGACAAAACAAAAATGATAATAAAACTCTTTGATCAGGGAATGAATACATTTATTAGGAAATGTTGAAGTCTTTATATTCACAAGTTGATTGACATTGCAAAGTCGAGCTCAAAACGAGACTTTTTTCCAATTTAGAATAGAAAAGGTAAATGATTTTAATAACATTCAAATTGAATCAGATTCATGTTTCAATCAAATGATTGAATCATTTTCTATCTTATTATTCCAATGTGCAGTTCAGGTTTTACTTTTAAATGTTTATAATGATATTAAGATTTTGCTTGTTGAGAGTAAAAGAAAAGTTTGAATCAAAATTAACTGCATTTTGATTTATTTCAATTCAATTGTAATATTTGAATATTTGCTTGCATTACATGTTAACATGAAAATAAAAACAAAACAAAACAAGGAAACAAGGAGAAAAATGTAATCAAATGAGAGTGAAATTGGTAAAAGTAAAGGAAAAATGATTCAAAAAGTAATGTAAACGAAGGTAAAAGTTTGAAATGTAAGAAAATGTTATTTTTAAAATTCGAATCTGTAAGTTATAGTTGCTCATTTCCTTCATGTTCATGTTTAGTGTTCAATCTGGCTTCAATAATCGGATTGGAAAAAGAGTTTCAAAGGGAAAAACAATGCTCTAGCAAAGTGTTTCATTTGTGCTCTCGTCGACGAAACAACAGCGAAATGCTTTGGAATTGGTGGCAAAAAGAGATTATTTTTCTTTCAAATATTGAAGGGATTATTCATTACAGTTGAATAAATGCTGAGAAGATTTAAGTTTTTCTTCAAATAAGTCAATATTAATATGAAATGAGCTTCAAGGCATTTGATCATCTTTCAAGAAACATTTAGTTTCACCTTTAGCATCGACATCAATATTGTTTAATATTGGTAATAATTCAAGTTTGATTGCATCTGGACATTAGCCTGGAATCACTGTTTGCTCATGAAATTGTTTTGAGCAAGTTTGCTTTAAAACCTTGTTTCGTCATTTGACCTCTCAACTAGTCAATGTTTTGAAAAATGTTTCACATTTTATTGCATGCAATATCAATGGATGTCAATTTTTTAATCTTTTTTGCTTGTACAATTCAATTCTTTTTACTCTTGACATGACTCTGAATAGATTTGAGTATGTTTTTGAGATCATTTTTCTGTTCACTTTTTTTAATAATTCAATTGGCTTAAAACTGTTGTAAGGTTGAACGAAGAAATGTAAAGTCATTTATCAAGTTCATGTATTAAGGTGAAAACGGGAGTAAAGAGAAAGAGGTTCAATGTCATGTTAATAAGGGATGATAAGAGTTTTGCAAATATTATTAATAACAGGGAAAAGAAGAAAAAGTGTTCACTTTTTTCTCTTCCTTCAGCTGAACATGAGTTTAAAAGTTATCATGTTTGCATTGAGATGAATTGCTCAGGGACAAGTACAAATTTATCACTTTTTACTTTGCTTTTCATTGCGTTTTATTATAAGTCTTGCATTGAGAATGAAGTTTAATATGAAAAGAAAACATTTTAATGTTAATGTTTAAACGGTAACCACTTTTTACTGTTGATAAAGTGATAAAGCAAAGAGCATGGAATATGAAATTTGAAGGAAAAATTTTAGCCAAAAATTGGGTGAAAAAAGGTTGAAGAGAGAAAAGGTTTATTCCAAAGAATCAGGTAAACAGTGATGTGAATGGAGTTTGAATAAAAGTTCAAGATGAGGAATGATGAGAGATGGAGAGATGAAAGCCTTGGAGCAAATGAAAGTACAAGAATGAAGAATTGAATATTATTGTGTGAAAAAAAGAAAGGTTAAACAAGAAATTCTCACTGGGAGTGAAATGGAAAGATGTTTAAAAGAAAAACTTTTTGTTTTCAGTTTCTTCTCTTTTTTGTGTCTCGAATGATGCTGATGATGATTAGGATGATTAGAAGGATGAGAGGTTGTGTGGAAAGTACAAGACTCGATTCTACTTGTTTTTCTCGTTCTTTTATCCTTTCTTAGTTCTTTCACTTCTTACTTTTTGCTTGTTGGCAAAGTTAAATATTTACACTCTATCATGAGTCTAAACATGTTGGTTGGCCTTAAATGTTCTGGGAGTGATTCTGATTTCAACTACTGCTAATTTCAATTCACTATTTATCCAGTTGCATCTGACTATTTTTGGAATTCTTTCACTTCTCTCTCTCTCTTTACCAACACTAATGCATCTGTCCTTGTGGCTGATTTTATGGTTATTTTTGGGTTAATCTTGTCATCAATTACATTTATCGTAATACAAAGTTTTTTTTCTCAATTCACTTATTAATTCATTGAAGCTTTTCGTTCAATTTCAATATTTACACTGATTTCCAAGCAGTTTCATTCATCAGATCAGAATGCATTACCTTCATATTAACGTCAAAAGATTAAAAGTAAAAAGATAGAAATTAGAAAAATGTGAAAATTCTCTGATCGAATTTCTAGATTTCATGATTTTTATTAATACTCAAGTAAGACACAGAACTTTGATTTCGTGAATTTCAAGAACTTTTAAAATTGAAATTCAAATTTTACAAAATTTTCGATCGCTTGAAGCTTTGACAAAGTTTGTTTTGGAATATGGTTTTTGTCTGAAGAATGAAATAGTGAATTCGATTTTGGGTTGAAACTGTTTTTTTTGTGTTCATTTTGGTTCTTTTGTTGTTCCATTGAACCATTCTCATGATTCCTATTGAAGGTTATCCAAAGTTGAAACATTTCCAATGATATCATCTCTTGCCTTTCCTGTTATCAAATCTTTCCTTTAGTCCAGAAGGGTCAGAAAATGCAACTCGGAAATGAACTCGTGAAATTTTTACCAATTCAATGCACTTTTGTCATTCATTTTTATAACTTGGATTGATAATGATAAACTTTAAACCCTCTTGGAGTGAATAAAATAATACTTGAGGAACAGGGAAGCAAAAAATAAAGAAACAGTTTACACTTATAAGCATAACTGCTCAATCATTTTGAATCTTTTCCATCTTCATCTTTATCATCATCAACATCATCTTTTCCTTCTTCTTCTTGTTCATCATCTCACAACAGGATTACCTGAAAGTGATACTCTTTCAAGATGAAGATAATGATAATATATCCTGCTGTTTTGAGATTGCGTTTCAAGTGTTTATCATTTTATTCGCAAAGAGTTTCTTAATATTGTTTTTGTTTTCTTTTTCCATTTTTTTGACTCTCTTCAAGTGAAATTCCTAGCATGAAACTGAGACAGAAAAAAGACTTTTTCATGTTCTTCATGGCAAAGACTAATGTCTTTATTATATTGCGACCTGTAAATATCAAGGTAAAGCAAACGAAATCAGCTTCGATCGTAAATGTTAAATATTAATAATCGCAAGTTTCAGGATAAATGTTTGTCAACATGGAATCAGTCAAAATTGAAATCATAACTTGGATCGGAAGTTAAAGAATTTTCATTTTTCTCGAAAAGAGAAACATTTATTCTAAATTCTTATCAGATTTATCGGATTCGATGAATCAAATTGATTGAAATTTCGACTGATTCAATATTCATCGATTAAAGCAACAATTCTTCAGAAGTTGAATCAGTTAACAGCCTTTACTGGCAAGTCAAGATTAATTACATGAAATCCGTACTCAATTCGTTGACTTTTGCATGGATTGAATAAAACGAATGATTCTTGAGAACAAGATGTTTAAAAGGCTTAAAATTCTAGCAAAAAATCAAGAGAACCAGTCGAATATTTTCGAAGGCAAATTCGGATAAATTCAAAAAAAGAAAGATGAAAATTGTCCAACAAAAGAGGAAAAACCTTTTCTTTTTCTCTTCCATTTCTTGACAGAAAATCGATTCTTGATTCAGGTCAACCTTGAAAAGCAAAAGATGACACTGCAAATGTTATGTGCAAGTATCATTATCTTCATCATCATTACTAGAGATTCTTGGAGTTTTTTGTCTTCCTCTTTATCTTCCCAGTTAACTTTGATTCCAGAAAAAAAATGTCAGAAAGTCAAGAGTGACATTGAATTGGTAAAACGAAAAGTCGTGAAAATTTGAAACAAAACTGATAAATTCAATAAAAGCGAATAAGATTATCATTTGAAATGCACAAAGTGATTAACACGGTTGAAGTCGAAACATCCAAACAAACCTTTGCCATCTGATTAAACTGTTGATCAGCATTGAACAATTTA